ACCCCTTTCACCTCCAGTGGTTAGGCAGACATATAAGGCTAGACCTCAAGGCTTTTTCGAGTGCTCAATTTAGGCTGGTTAACACGTGAACCGAAGGTCATTTTTGATTGATCAAAACTCGAACTTAATGCGGATTTGAACACAATATCTTCCAGTCGGTAGGGGAGCGTCTAGCCGCTAGGCCATTGTAGCTCTCTGAGTTTAAATTTTATTTCCCTTCGAAGAAACACCAGCGGAACTTGAAAAATGACTAAAGAAGTAGACTATCTGTGCTTTTCAGTCTTGTGCAATCTTCAGTGCAGTTTTCCATGTCAAAGATGCCGCATTCAGGTCATTCTCCATCGTTCGTCTCTATGTTGTTTTTGGGCGCCCCCTTTTTTTTAACTCTTCCCTTTTGGAATTCACGTGAGAGCTATTTTAGCAGGTATATCAGGATTCATTCTCATAACGTGGCCAAGTTATTTCCATCTTCTCTTGCTTATCATACTGTCTAGAGTACAAGCGCCCGGTAAAATTGACATTATATGTAAAGAATTAGAGAAAGTCAGGTTTCTGGACAACTTATGCTGTAAACAGTTAAAAGGCAAAAAAGAATGGCAAACTATTAGATTTAAATTAGGAAGATGTAGATATGTAATTACCAAACAAGCAATTCATTTTGGAAACAAACTGATTAAGGAATTCAGAACGACAAGGAGAAACCATTAAACCTGCAATGTTGACGGAGTGGTCACGGGTTCTAGATGGATCCCATTTTGTGACATGGTTTAGACTGTGCAGGAATGAGCAGAATAAAACACTAGACTGCGAGTCCTATGTCACCTGTCTCGGCACAGCATTATGATGATGATGATGACGATGATGAAAATTAAGTGCGCACAGTGAGGTGTCTGTTTAAGAAAACTTACCTTGGTGCGTAAAAAAAAAAAAAAAAAAACCAGTCGACTATAAAGATTTATTGTTTAGTCACAGTCTGACAGATAACACACGATCTGTGAAACCTTGACCCAGATTGAAAAGTATTCTCTTGTTAAAATAACAATGTGTCTATGGTATTTATTTCAAACGGATGTGCATTAAAAAACAAAAGGGACTTTAAATTTGTAGGAGTATTCTGCAGAAACAAAAACGTTACTGGTGAGCTGACTGACCACATCCTCCATCGAGTGAGGATTGGTCTAAGTAAATATGAACCCAGCATCATGTTCCCCTTGAGCAACTGGCGTTGAAAGGATCATTTACCTCACTCGCCTGCTCCAGTCTGTCCATCCTCTGTAGTTAATACATTTAAAGCTGCATTTCTTTTCTACGTCCACGTGTATTCTGATACTTTTAACGACCCCAAAACATATATAACTGACACTAACCCCAACCCACCTACATCCCACATGAGAGTGCAGCCTAGGTCTCACGACTGCTGCATATCTACAACCCCCTGACATATTAGGGTGTCCCTTGACCTGGTAATTTCCCCTGTTTGGGGTAGGGTATTGATAAAGCAACGGATTTTTTTCTACAGGATTGTAACATGTTGGATAAACATCTTAAGGATGAGAATCAAACAGGTAGCAATAACCGACATCCAGTTCGACCATTTAGTGGTATAGCAGTCATAGTGAGGAGCTCCTAAACGGTTAGAAAACTTACATAGTTCTGTCCAAAAAATTACTTATTTATTTATCGATATGTGTGTGTGTCTGGACAAATACCTGCATCGAATAAATAAAACCAAAAAAAAAAAAAAAAAGTGGAGATACATTGGACACACTCTGAGAAGAAATTAGCAAATAATTACAAAACATGCACTGAAATGGAAAACAAAAAACGATGTGATAGAAAAAAAAAAGTGATCATCCTAGGAAAACATTAAGAGAGGAACAAAATAGTTGGCTTAAATCCATGTCAGACGTCGAGAATGTTGCATGCAGTACAGCGGAGTGGAGAAATCGAATGCGTGCCCTGTGTGACTTCTAGCAAAAGACAAAGGAGGATGATGACGATGTTTATATATATCAGGTTAGTTCGTATCCTTTACAGGACGTTGCAGAATCGATCCCAGCAACCACTGGCTGTTGTGTGGTTTCTCTAGGCAAATTTACGTCAATTTGTTTGGTATACACACACACACACACACACACACACACACAAACAAACCTTTTTAGGGACTAATTAACGTTCTCGGTAAGTCAAGAGTAGATCAGACACTGTTATCGCAGTAAGAAAAGAAGGGTAGATCAGACACTGTTATCGCAGTAAGAAAAGAGGGTTAGTGGCTGCTGTAGCTGCATTATAAAGCAACAAGCAGAACTGTTCGACCATCTAACATTGCTGGAACACAATTTGCTAGCAGTTCACAACCTGTGGCTCGCAACCCTATTGTGGCTCGAACGACCCTTTCATATGTGCCGCCACTGACCATCCTAAAACACATATTCACTGAAGTTATGAAGTAGCAACGAAACAAATTGTATGTTTGTGGGTCACCACAGCACGAGGAACT